ATTTTTAACAAAAGATTGACGCATTTTAGCTGTTCGTTTAAATCGTACTTTTAAATCGTAATCCGGTAATTTAATAAATCTAAATGTTTGCCCCGTATGCTTTCGATCCGAAAATAGAGAATGGTATTAAAGCCATCGATGTGATCATTAAGTAAAAGTAAAAGTACCGGTTTAAACGTGATAATTCGTTTATTTCGTTAATTTCTAAATATATTTCGACGCCTATTTCGAGCGTGTGATAATATAATTATATACAAATGGCAATCGCGCGTTCACGATTCGCAAATTATGAGCATTCGTATCAATTCGCGTTAGATATATAATTTTCGTGGATTAATGCGACACGCGGAACGTTTCGTACGACGTGTATCTCGCTCCGAGGTCACCGAGCGAATGTTGAAGTGATGACGTATGTCAACTACGCCGAGCGGCATGCTCCCCCACTCCTCGTCGTTTAGCTATCTTACTATTGTGTATGAAAAATATTCACGGTTTATTCATTTATTCATATTTTACATGATTTTTACAAATGGGTATCAACGTACATTTTGCACTTTGCTTTGTGGCATATCTGGCACTAGTTTAATCTTATATTATTTTCGCGGTTCTTTTTACAATTGTAATTGATAATTATTCGTGCATGTGTGTGAGGTATTTTTGATATTCTAACGATACATTATGTCTCAATTTTCATTACTTTTAAATTATTTATACTTAAACAAAGATTGATAATATTCTATATATACTTTATAAAGATATCTGCAAATTTTCTTAATGTGTATTGCAAAACAATTTGCGCTCAATACTGCTTTGGTTAAAAGTATTAAATATCTTGTTAATCATTATTTAATTTTTCAGCTAAAAAATTAATTTATGACACTACTGCAAATTATTCTGTGTTTCAACAATTTTTTAAACTTACATATAATACCGATTATGGCTCGATATAATAACTATTACGACTTATTTAAAATAAAAACGATAAACTAAGTTTCTAAACTAATTTAAAATATAGAATCCTAAAAATCACTAAAGAACTGATACGACTTATTTAAAATAAAAAATAGAAATTAGATTCTGGAAACTTATTTATAATGCAAAATAATTAAGAAATTAGTCAGAAGTGTAGTTATTTAAAATAATAAATACTAAATAATTCTTATATTTTTTATTTCAAATATATACTTTAAATAACTTTATTTAACCCTTAGTACATATCTTAGTTTTGTGTGCACTTATTACTATACTATACACACGTTGGGTTATTCATATTCTGAATTAATTTTTATCACTTTTACAAGTATATTAAAATTATCAAACGATTTTTACATATATTTTGACATCTTTAAAAAGTATTTGTAAATTTTTATATATTAATTTATAATAAATTTGTGTATGCTCCTTATAAAAATAAATCAGGTGCTTCTGATGGAAATAAATTGAAATCGCTAACATCTCTGAAATAAATCTATCAAATTAATAAAGATTTCAACGATTTCGGCGATGTATTTCTATCAGGAGTACCGGAAAAAATGGATATAGTTGTGTAATTTACGTCCACTTGTTCTGAGGGCAGTAATGCGCGGTGTTACAGAAAAAAGACCCTCATGTCCTCTCTTAAGTTTTTCTCTAGTTACAGGCTATACAGTCTAAAAAAAAAGAAGTCTTCGGCGCCACCTGGAGTGTCACAAAAGTCGCAATTGGGGATCCGATGGTCTACGTTTTGCCGCCAAATTATTGCGCTAAATTGTTGATATTTGTTGACTTGAGAAAGAGAAACGAGAAATTTAATCTTGTAGACTTGTCAGCTTATATTCATTGATTACGATTTACTGGGAGATAACACGTGTTTGCAAGATGACATGTACGTATACACGAGAAATTAATACACTGCTATTGAATTCTTTCGATTACATTGTCTTGTTGTATTTTTAATATTTTTAGTAAAATAAATGTATATTTAGATTTTCTTTTTGGAAGACGAAAAGGTATAAAACATAAATTTTATAAACCTAAATGCAGGAAATTTTTGCAGGGTTAAAGAAATTTCTTTATTTTGCTATATTATAGGTTGGTTTTTTTTATTGCTGAACGTGTTATGAAATTATTCTGATTGGAATTATTTTCAATTATTTTCTAGATTTCTATTGTTTTGTAGAAAAAAATAGAATAATTCCAACCGGAATTCCGACTTGTTTCATGAAAGACTCACTAATTGCATTAGAATTTTTCTTTTTACTTTCGTCAATTTTCATCTAATTTATATCTGTTTTACTTTAAGTAACACAAACGTATAATAGTTTTAGTTATAAAAAACAGATCCAATGATTGCTTTCTAACAGAAGACAAATGATACGTTAATTGTGTTAAAGCAAAGAAAATAGCTTTGTAAAATATTAATATGTTGTCAATGATAAACAAGCATGATTAATTCATTGTGTTACACTACGTCTTTTATTGAAAAATATCCTTTGTATAAAATTTTTTTATTCTAGCGGTTGAAATAAGAGATTGGACACCTGAATACTATGTTTCAAATCAGTTGAACTGTCAGAAGATTTTAGAAAGTCGGAATATACTGACAAAAATACCTTTATTAAATAATACTCAATTGCATGACATCAAAGACAAAGAGTTGGTGAGATTCCGAGGGATGATTCAGGATATGTATGATCCTGAGTATTATTTGAAGCAATACGAAGTGAAGAACACAAGCACTGGGGAGAGTAACATCAGATGTGGAATGTACATGGATGCAGCTCAATGTCTGGTAAATTGTCTCTGTTTTATTTTCCTTCCATATATCCTTCTGTAGAACTATTTTATGTGACTCTGTTTAAATGTTGCATTAGGTCTGTTCTTTTTAGCTAAAATTCTTGCATTGTTCATTTTTCTTTCTTTTTTCTCAATGTTGGAGAGAAAAAGAGAAAAGATGAACCATGCAAGAAGTTCAGTTAAAAAAACAGGCCTATTATCTCTGTTCCCATATGAGCAGTGGATATGAAGCAGAGTCTAAAAAAATATGCAGTTCAGGTGTGGGATGCTTTGAGAACAGCTTATCTCATGTATAATACTGCATACATTATTGCTAGGATGTAAGATTATTCATAGATGTAATAAGAATATGCATTTTTATGAATTGAAGCACATCGCTTCCTCTATGAAATAACAAATTGAAAAGAGATTTTGATAAAGTTGAAGAAAGATGCTGATTCAATTCTTTCTATCTGATCTAGAAACTAAGATCAGGAAAGTGCAGTTCACACTTAATATGTTTACAATATTTTTATACGGTGTAAGTAATTTATTAATTTTTATTTTGATTTTATTTTGGTTATTTTTATTACAGCCGCATGAAATGGTTTTGTTATATTCCAAGAATAATCAAACTTCGGGAAGACAAACTTACGTTGTGATCTCTATACCTGGATTAAATGACTGGGCAAAGGAAGAGAGCATGGCCATACAGACACCCCGTACAACGACACACAATGACAGTACCAATAAAAGAAGTCTAGATGAGAACGACTTAGAGGAAATGGACTACTCGGAACCTGTTACGAAAAAAGAGAAAGTCTCTGCAGATAATAATGATGTAAATATGACCGATGCTGAAGGCAGTGCAAAAGTTCAAAGTGTGTTATCAGAAGATCATATATTGAACTTTCCGATACCAATTGATGGTGGAAAAACTTGTATAGTAAAGGTAATTTATTATACGATGTTTTTAAAAAACGAACTCAATATTTCTTTTCAATATTATCATAATGTATACTCTTTAGATTTACAATGATACCGTCTTAAAATTGAACCAAGTTATAGATATAATAGGATTTATATCGTTGGATCCATCATTAAGTATAATTCAAAGTTCTGATGATGAGATGAATGAAGCTGAAATACAAACTCATAATCCACCAGCTTCTCTAGTACCTCGATTACATGCAGTAAAAATAATTGAGCTTACAAAACCTATAATTATAAATGCTCCAGAAATTTTATCTAAAGCACAACTCATCAGAGGTGATTTGCACATAATATTGAGTCAGTTGCTGTTTGGAGATACTTTAGCTGCGGATTACATGATATGCCACTTGCTTTCTATGATGTAGGCATTTTATTTTGGTATATTTATAGAAATAAGCATACTTACCTGTCATTTATGTTATGTTTTATGATATTTTTAGGTATCTGAGAAAAGAATCGTTTAGTCTCTTTACATTTCCGCTGAATATAACGAATATCCCAGTGAATAAACATAAAACTTTTCCGAAGGAGTTTTATAACTTTTTAAAATTATTTGTAAAGAAAAGCTACTTTTTGGAAATTACTTTGGAGAATTTGAATGAACTAGCTTTAATTCCGAAGTAAGTTTGTTTTACTGAATGCCCATATGTCAGTGAATAAATTCGCATTGTTTATTTTTAGGAAGGACTACGAATGTAATAGACTGACAAGTGGTATTCTCCAACTAAGCGATAATACGCACCTTATATTAGATGAGACAGGTTTAAACCCTGGTACACTTACTGCAACTGGCAGAGAGAATTATCAAGCTCTCTCCGATTTACTTATGTTTCAAAAACTAAAATACGACTTTCAGTTTTATACAATAGAATACGAAACGGACATTCCGATTCTAATCTTTTCTGATGCGAAATCGTTTGTTCCTGTAAATATATAATATTTATTTACAGCATAAAAAATATGCATTTATGAATATTAATTAAATGTTCATTTATAGTGTCCTACGCAAGTTGTTTTAAATGTTGATGCAGAAACGGAAAATTTATATAGCCAAGTAACTGAAGCTGCACATCAGTATTTGAAAGACGATAATCGATTAGTTAATATTCGGCAATACATAGAAACCTTGAAGTACACAAGGCCCTTCAATCTTACCGAAGGAATGGCAAAAGTATGTTATATTTTGATTTTCGACACTAGCATCTACATTCATTCAATTTATTTTATATAATATAATATATAATTTTCAATATATAATTTCTTTATTTTATTTAGATCATTCAAAAAGATTTTGTGAAGTTGCTCGGAGAACACAGGAATCATATAACTAAGGACGATCTAAACGCAATGGTGATTTTCGCCAAAGTTATGGCCTTATCTTGCGGACAAACGACGTTAGATATAGACTGCTGGAAGAACGTTGTGCAGTTGGAAAATGAAAGAATGAGTAGGCTGTCACAACGTAGAAGGTAATCGTCGAACCCAGGAAAGAATCATAATACTAAATGTACATCATATGATACTAATACAAATATTTATTTCCCATGAATTTCTCATAAATATCTCATTAGTAATGTAAAAATTATGTACTATTTTATATATATATACATTTTTATATTAAATAGGACGGAAGTTTAAGATTCAATTTGTATTTACACAGGCAAAGATCACATGGTTATACCTTGACAAATAAACATTTACAATTAAGTATCATGCGCTTTAGAATATTTAGCATGTACATCGGCTATAATCCATTTCGTAAATTCTAAAGTTTAGACGTACGTCTTCCTTTATTTAAGTCGAAATGGAACTAGCATGTATATTAATCGTCTCTATTCATTTCTTTGAAAATATTTCCCAGTAGAAATATTCCCAAAAATTGTATTCTTTTCATGTTTTAAATGTGAAACGATCGTGTACATATTTACGTGGTGCATGTATGTGCAGAAATTTATTGAATATTAGAAGCTTAAAGCAATTGAAGTAACTCACGCATTTGTAGATTTATTTCTACTATAAATTTATTTCTAGATGAACAAATATTATGATAAATACTAATATTATGATTAATATTTCTCTAAATTGCAATCTAGCTTATTTCTCGATTGTCATACTTCTCTTTGAAGACTAGTTAAGGAGAGCCCCTTGATTTAAAAATCTCTGTCTTCATCTTTTCAATATATTTCAATACATACATCTTCAAAAATTAATAAACTTACTTCGCGCAGGAATACATTTCCATGCTTTAATAATTATTCTATCTGTTTCTAAATTTGAATAGTCTACTGTAAATTATTTATGTCCGTAAATTAGGAAAGAGTAAAATCTATTAGTATTACTCTTATAACTCAAAAATACTAGAGTACAAAAAGTAATCCTTATATAATTTTGGAGCTTTCGTAATTTAAACATAAATAATTTTGCAACTAGATTATTCTCTAACATAATTATTTGTATTTACTCACTTCTTTCTTGATATTACGAAAAAAAATAAGTAATGTAAAAACATTAAGTACAGCAAAGTCTGCATGGCAAAATTTCGGAAGTTACATGTTTGGAAATATCTTGTATCATACTTATAATACTTTCTAAATAGCAAGATGACGTTTTATTTTTTAATAACATTTAATTAACATTAAAGATAATTAAGATGTTATAATATTTAACGTTACCTTGCTACTTGGATTGTTCTTTATTACATTTATTCTCAGTTTTTCTTCCCTTTAATGTCTAAACGCATTATTATCTCATTTTGTATGCTGCAGTTAGAAACCATATTCCTGTATCATCTTATGCACGCGTGTGTCCTGTTTCGTCAAGGTACGCATTGTCAAGGACTCTCTCAACAGAGTTCATATCTTTAGTCCTACTGAGCCTTTCTTCACGTTCCCTTTGGACACGCTCTAATCCTTTTCTAGCGGCTTGAGCGTACCTCTTGGAAAGCGCGACTTCTCCCTTTGCTCCTGGAATGTGACCTGTATAACCGACAATTGGCGGTCTTTCTGGGGAGACATGATAATCTGCAACGGTAACAATAATGCATCAATTTTTGTAACTTGATATTTTGCTTTCAATTTCAATAGAACTTAAATTTTTTATTGTAACAAAGACATTTTTGCTGCAAAAATTTTTACTTATGTATTAAGTTTTTTAAGATAAACGTTCATTAATTTCTTATTATGTACATTTAGTATCTTTTTAATTTTATATTTTGATCTTGAAATAAACGATTAAATAATTATATTGGAATAACATATCTGTTGCATTGCTATATTAAATCTGAATAACAAATAATGCGATTATGAAGTACCATAGGTCCTTCTGTCTTTGTCATGACCGTGATCGATCTCAATGTCCACATTGTCGGTTCTTGCTCGAGACAGAAGATTTCTCGGATCTGTTCGCTCGGCATGAGCCCTCATCGCATCTCGTTGCGCTCTCAGTTTCATTTGTGCCTCGTGCCATTCTTTGGCACCAGCTTCCACTGCTCTCATAAAAGATAGACCAAACCTATTGTTGAAGCCAGGAATATATCCTGTGATAAATCAGAGAATAATGAAAAAAATTATCAAATATAAATCCCTTTATAAAGGAATTGTATAAGATATAAGATATAAGATATAAGTCGATTCTTTTTATTTTCATATTAATATCAAGATGAGGAAAAATACATTTCTTAGGATTGACTGTTCCACTTTCGAATAAATTATGTGTAATTTATCCAATATATAAAAGAAATGGTGGGAAAGAGAGAGAGAGAGAGAGAGAGAACGAGATTGAAATTTATCGAAAGAGATAAAACAATCCAGCCTTAAAAAAATTTTTGTAAATTAATTAATTTTGCAAATGAATTCTTAAGAGAGACTTTATATAGTAGTCAATATACATTCAATTAGAGAAAAAAAAAATATAAAACGTCATTTATAATTTGAAAAAATATATGATAAAATTTAAAGTATGAATTTTACATATATATATATATATATATATACATAATTTTTTATATATACATAATTTTTATACATACATACAGTTTTTGCACAAATTAATTTTATTAATAACTTTTTATGCAGATTAATTTTATAGTATTATTAAAATATTATAAAAAACAATTGCAACTTTATTAATTCTAGGACCGAAATTGGAAACAATTATTCGAATATAACGCTATATTTTTTTTAATAAATAAAGAAAATTAAATTAAATTCTTCATATTTTTATAATAATTCAATTGATCATTTTTATAATAATTTAATCGCTTTTTATCAATAGCAGTAATAATATTCACGCGAAATAATTATTTCTGTAATCGTGTATCTCTGCGGCACATTTTGAATTTTCCGCCTAATCGTAGAACGAATCGCCAGAACAAATAAGATAATAAAAAGATTTCATGTATCGATTGCTTAATAATATACACATTTATTAATAATACACGGAATTTTTACACGTTCAATATACTACCTTTCGATTGTAGGTTTGATTTTCAGATTTATCTCAATTAGTCGTTAATTGACTTGTATCATATCGTACTAAAGTTGGCAACACTTTCAAATTTTCAGTAGGAAAATGTCGTTGTAGATGCGTGAGACGGTTGACGAATTGTGCAGTGCAGTGTTGTGACGTAAAATGTTTAATTAGTGAATATGGTTGTAATTAACCTGGTCTTTGTTAACTATGTGATGTAAAATCGGCGTATGTCATATCGTTGACCTTTTGAGATGCATAGTTCGCGAGATTTCTTCGATCGAAATTATCGGAATCGGCGATCGGGCGACATTTGCAAATGGCGTTTACGGCGTCCTATGTGGGTACATTCATTTTCTCAGTCGACACTAATTAAAGCAACGTAACATTTATGTTATAATTTTGCATTTAATAACAAATATAACACTTAGTTACCATTGTTGCATGTGAAATGATGAGTTAGTTTTTGATTTTTGTACTAGACTTAACTACAAAGAAAATTTTGCACTTTCTTTCTCATTTTAGCCAAATATACCTCTTTCACTTAATATTTCAATGTGCATATATTAATTTTGTTATAGAAAATAGTTCATACAACACAAATAATTCCTGTAATTCTGCATATAAAAATATTAAGGTAAAGATATAAAAAAAAATCAATAATATGAGATAATTTTTTTGGCACAATTAACATAAAATATTAAATATTCGTAAACAATTAATTTTTATATAATCGTACATTAACTTTTACTTTTATGAACTGAAGTGAACCAATTGGAGTAAAGAAGATATATAATTGCTTTAAAAAAAATATGTAGGCAAAGTGGATAATTTTTTAAGTAAGCAATTATATGTGTTTTCTTTATATCAATTAATTTATCTCATTATTCTGTTCGTAAGAGTATTAAGTATATGCAAATAGACCTCTTACAACATAGATATTATGTTACTTTTAGTAGTTTTAATTGATGTCAACTGGGTTGTTCTAGCTCTACGTATATTTATACTATAAACGAATCTATAATAATGTATTCATTCATTATAATGTATCGCAACAAGATCGCTATAATAGGCGACGATAACCGGCCTAAAAACCGCGATTATGTGCTCTTTGTGTCAACAGGTGCGACGTTCCGCTGCAATGAATGGTGTGAATTTAGGCACGCGGTTAGTTTTTCCATCATAATGTAGTGATATTAGTGATAAGTGGAAAATTATAGAAAAAGTGATTGTGTCTTGTTTGCCATGGAAAGGAGAGGAGAGGAGGAGGAGGCCGGGGAGGCATCAGGCGACGGCGGGGCAACCGTGGGTAAGCATTTGTGATTCGCTTAAAAAATTATTGTTATCTATGAAGTGTAATTTTTCTGTCAAGTATTTATTTAGATATAATTATTTTATAAAACGTTATTAATTTTTTTAAACAATATTTAATATTTGATAATATATTTGTATTTTACAGATATTTATTACATACTTCAACCTCCGCTGTTGCGCATCGTACTGGTGAGCGTTTGATTATTTTTTATATTATTTTTGAAGCAATCAATTTGAGGAGAAAGATGTGAAAGTGTTTTCCCGATGATTAAATATATTTAAAAATATAAATTTGCATTAGAAACAAAAAAGAAAGTGATTTATATAATACATGTGTATATATTTTTAAGATATAGTTAGTTCTGTGCGCGATGCAATACGCCAACTAATTACAACGATTTAGGTCGCTTAGCGCGATGCTCACTAATAGTAATCGCGTGTATTGAAGGTCGTATCAGAGCAATTCTACGTCGGTAGTTTGAAGCGATAAAATAAGGATCTTAATCGCGATTTCTATTTTGGATTGTTATTAGGCCTTTCTTTTGTGGGAAAGGATGTAAAGTCATTTACATGCAATGTATTCCAAATTTCCTAATTAAATATTTTAACTATTAAAATATAAAATTCAATTTTTGCCGAAATATATATATATATAGACTAAGTGAATAAAAAAGAAAATATTTTTATTTATTTTTCATTTTGAAAGCTTAATTTCAGAATTTTTTATCAATATTATCACAAAATTTTGATAAATGTTTTGAAATGAAGCTTTTAAAAAATATAAACACAAATAAAAATATTTCTCTTTTTTAATTATAACTTACAAAAACTTTTATATTTCGACAAAAATTAAATTTTACATTTTATTTATTAAAATATTTAATATCACTTTATTAACACAAGAGCAATCATATATAATATATTATAAAATATTGATATCTCTCAATTTTAACAATTTTTTTTTTTAATTTACTTGCGATTAAAAGAATGTTTAAAGGGATGTCCTGTCTTACCGGTATATCCTAGAATATATGGAGGTGCCTTGTACGATCCAGGTTCGCTAGGCCAATCTCTTCTGATTTCTTTATCTTGAAGAGTTGGTAACTCGGCTTCTCTGCCGGACTTTGGTCTATATGGTCCAGTCTTAAGAATCTTCTTTTCTAATAATTCCTGTGACAATACAAAATTAAACTTTTAACTGTCCAACTTGATTATTCATAATATTTTGCGAGTATTAAAAAATTTTTTTGTTCAAGTTTCTCTATATACATCTCCTTTATTTTGATAATTTAATTCATTTCTATTATAATCTTTTGATAACCTTTTGATTTTACGATTATTAATTATATAATCATAAAATCTTATAATCGTATAATCTTCTTTACTCAAGTTTCTCTATAAATAAGTACATCTCTCTCATTTTGAAAATTTAATTTCCAGTTTTTTGATATTTTTTTTTCTTACCTTCATTATCTCCTCTGTACTCGCTCCGAATCTCTTTCCAACGCGAAATTTGAGGGTGGGACAATGACCCGTGTACCTAAAAGTACATGTAACTTGCAGTAAAGGTAGCACAATATGAATTTTAAAACATTATAAATTTAGATGTAATGACACTATTGCATTCCTCAAAACTCCTTTAAAGAAATTGAATTTTTTTTCTTGAAGTAAGAAATTGCATTAGTATTATGTTACATTGTTTCATTATTGTGACAGAGCAACAAATCAACTGTACAATATGTAATGTTTGACGTAAGATTTTTCGATCAATTTGCAGTCTATTTTTCCATGACCAAAATATGATAAGGAAAGAAATATAGACAGTGTAGCGTGCAAAATTATGATCTATTACGTGAACACTGAACATGTTATAGCCATTTTTCTGTCTAGTGAAACGTATCTAATACCTTACAATTAGATATCTTATGTGATATATCAATGTACGTATATATGGGAGCTTCTTCGTAGAATCTATATTCATTATGTTATGTTGCTACTTACTACGATGGTGTAAGATACAATAAAATATACTTTATATTCTGAGAAAAAAAAGCGTACTTGCACGCGAGGTATACTTACCTTGTAACTTCTGTATTAAGTATACCGTAAATAACTAAAATAGTATGATTCAGAAGAATCGAGATCAGTGAATCTTAAGATGAAGGACGTGGATTATACTGAGAAAAAAAGTTGTTAATTTGATTAAATTAATTTAGTTTATTTTTTGTTGAAAAATGTATATTTGAGTCTCAAATTTTGAGAGTCAAATTTATATATATTATAAATAACTTAAATATATACATCTAACGAAAAAAATAAAGACTAAAGTAAACTAATTTAATCAAATTGACAATTTTTTTCTTAGAATATAGGATAATATATATATTGTTAAAAGACTAAAGTATATGTCTTAATTATTTCGTCACGAAACTTCTCAGAAATATTTATACGAATTAACTCGAAATTTAGAAAAATATTTTCAGCATTTAATATACTCTGCATTTAACATTTATTAATTGTAGACTGTGTGGATATCGCTTTAAATGCTTCTGAGAGAATGACACGATCACGGCCGATCCCTAAATAAAATAATCGCAGAACCGTAAAAGCGGACTACCGGTGACCCAGTAAATGGAGCCTTCACTTTGTAGCGGTCACGGTGGGATAACCAGCTGAAGTCACTCCTACACGGTTGTCACGAGTCTCGACTATTAAGATCTGAATAAATCGTATCTGGGTCGTTGAACCATCTTCCCGTGTCCATCATAAGATCAGTGTCAAAAAAGTGAAGTGTCTCGATATCTAGCAGATCGTTTGAAATATTACTGTTATAGAAAAAGGATGGTTTTGCTAAGTATCTAAAATTTAGCTAAATACAGGTCTGAAAATGATTTTGCTGGACTATCAAAATCATTAGAATAAAATTTACTTCTCTTCAATACCAAGAAGGACTTGATTCAACTAAGATTTTACCTCATTTGTCCATCCATACTTTTATCGCGCGTAGAATAATTATATAGAATACTCAAATTAGTTGCTAGAATATCAAAGCTTTTTGTATCCTTGCTTATCATGCTTGAGATTACTATGTAATTATTCTAATAATCCAAAATTATTTTCAGATCTGTGTCTAGCTAATTTTGTAGATACTTTAGCAAAATTGTTTTTTTCCGTACAGGTTTCTTCGTATTTAAATGTATAAGTTTTACTTCTTTCTTATTGCATCTAGAAATAAGTTTCTTCTATCTCTTTTATAATTTAGAAATTATATATACTAGGATAATACTATAATACTTAATATTCTAAAGAAAAAGTTCAAGATTGTATATTAAATTCGAGATCAGTAGTTTTTAGAAACTTTCTTTCCGTTTTAAGATGCAAGTGAAAACTAGATCTTTTCATGAAAAAGAAGTTCTCGATAATCAACTTGCTTGCTATCGGTCATTTCTTGTTATCCATTTTTGTTGTAATGAGAAAGGTATAATAGCATAAATCTGATGGAAACAGTTAATTGGGGCGTTTCTATTTTTCTCAGACAGTGCTTTTTCTCTCGAGCAACTCGTCCGTCCATTTCGATCCGCGTCTTTTCTCATTCGGATCGATATTCCGGAGCTAAGGTAAATCATGATAAATAATTCGAGGTGATTCGCCAGTGGGAGTGTAAATTGGCACGGTACCAACCGCGGTACCATCGCTTTCGAGGTCAATACTTCGGGTATGCACGCTTCCGGTGGGTCATCCGATGATCTAGTTTGAATATGATATAATCTGGAAATCGAGACACATATGCTACTTCGATTTTCTTGTCCGATGTCCGTGCGATCAGTAAATATTGCGAATGCATAATGTATTTGATGCTATATAGGTACGTTATAAGAAAGGCCGCTTTACTGCAGTTGATTTTTCGCGTATCATCATATGTATTAGTTGGCATTCAGATTTCTAATTATATTACATTGAATATCAAAGATTATAAGTATAAAAGAAAATCTTATTTTGAGTGTCATATATTAATTTTTATAATAATAATGTATTCTATAAAGGCTTTTACACTATTAAAATTTTATAAAAATTTTAAATAGGTTAAACTGACATCAATATCTTTGGAATATGTTCAGTTTTTGAAAATCATCAATTTGTTTAATATTAATCTCTCTTTCTCTCTCTAATTAAAAAATTTTAAACTTCGTTTTTATTCATCTGCATGATTTCAGAAATTCACCATAATTTTTATAATTGATATTTTATATTCTCCAATTAATTAATTTTTCAAATTCATAAATCAATTAATTAGTTTATACAAATTAATTAATATATAATAATAAATACTTTATAATCATTTGCAATATATGTCATTCGTATATTTATTTTTATTTAAGTTTCAAGATATTATCACGTAGGTAATTTCCAAATTTCAAATTTTCTAATGTCAAATTATTTAATATCATAGCCGATTTTAACAGATTTTATCAGTAGTTTAAATATCATTTTTGCGGTTTCTGTGTGTGTATGTATTGGACTGAAAATCGAATCGGTTAGAATTAGATCGTTTAGAATCGTTTGCGAAGAAAAAATTTAGATTTAATCTCTGTAGAATAGGCGTGATTTCATTGAAAATCCTTCGATCACATGTGATTTCCTTGTGGAATCAATTTCACGCTTTCTGCGTTTTTATTAAGATTATAAAGACTAAACGTTCTATTTATACGTTTAGTCTTTATAAACATTTATTTAAGTATTATTCCCAGTAAATACAATTTTTAATGATATAGATATTTTACGTAAAATAAAATAAATTTTGCATTTGAAAATAGTCAAAGGAATAGCGAGAAAAATAAAAAGAGAATTGTGACAAACTATAATTTTTGTCGCAATAAATTAAAAATAGAATTCCAATAGAATAATTATAAACATCAATTGATATTTATCTAATTATTCCCATTAATTACTTATTTATATTGCCGCAAATAAACACGGAGATTTTTTTCTGAATTTGGAATTTTATTGAACACTTGATGCTCACACTTAGCGTAATTATATGTATGTTGCTTATAGCCGCTTCACGGACAAATAACGTGTATGTGTGTGTGGATATTAAATATTCTCTCCATACATTTTATATCCTTATTTTAATATGAATGTGATTGCGTGTAGTTATGGTACCGTTACTATACATACAATCCAGCATAAAAATTAATTGTAAGATTTGAACTTTCTTTAAAGAAGTAATGATATTAATATTGTGGTGTATAATTCACGCGTAATTTAACAAAGTTTTTGCAATTGCACATACAGACATATACAATTTTTGAGATTTAATTATCATCATTTACGTTTTTAAATAACAGTAGAAAGAAAGAAATTTATATATTATTCATTATTATTTATATTATAACTGTATAATTTTTTTTCTCTTGAGAAGCGTATTATTTCGCAATTTTCATTTTCATTTGTAATAATAAATGAATGAATATTTAGATGTATATTTTCATAATAACTTTCTACTATGAGTGAAATTATGTACATACATTTGCATGAAAGATAGGACAGTTTATATATATATATATATATATACTTTCATTTATAATTGAAAATATAGAACGAGCGTAAAAATAAAAAAGATATGAGAAAGTTGACGTTTACTTATCGAGTAGATTTTTTACTTATTATCGAGTAAATTTGTCAATGATCAATGAAAAGTTGTGTGCATGTCGTGTACAATATCCATTTAATTAGGAACAGTTGTTTGACGCCATACATCTGCATGCATTACGCAATGTAAACGAGACATTTAGTACCTATCATAACGATGCTAAATTCAATTAGATTCTTGTAATCGTTAAACTAATTTTAGTGATAAAGTTTTTGTCACTAAAAACAATGTTGCATTATTTTCTTGTTCCTATCGATATATTGAGCGGTCCATTACTTTCTAAATTTTATTTTGCTTTCATATTTGATTAAAGTATCTCAATAATAACTCGCAATTGCCGAGTTTATCGAGAGTATTTTAATATTTTCAATACGAATATATAAATTACTTTTAATATTTCAATATGAAATAGAAATGTCTTCACAGAATATAACGCTGAGAGAAACAATTGATTGCAGTTATCATAATTTAATTATAATTGTTTTGGCGGCACTTTATGAATACAATTATTATTATTACTAACGTTATGTCAGTAATAACTATGAAAATTAAGCTTCTAATCATAATTATTATACTATTACAATTATTATCACAAATACCAAACACTTTTCTCTCAATAAACATCGAGATAAACATGTATTAAATTAGTAAGGCTTCAACAGTTTTGTAATAAACGTAAACAAGATGTAGAAGGAAAATCGATAAACAGAAGAGAAGTGCCTGTAATAGCGAATTAATCGCGGATTGAAAGCAGTGAATGGAACAATTAATTAATCATTGACAGATTGCACTTACCCGGGTAAATGAGAGCCATAGCTTTGTCTGAAGAATTGCTTCCTCTGCTCCTCGCACATCGCGTCGAATACCATTTTTTCTATCGATCCTTATCACGTGTAGTCGTAAATGAGTCACAACGCGACGACGCTCAACGAGATTATCGATCCAAGATTTCCTCTCATGTTTTTCTCCTGTTTTTCTTGTGATTGAATATGCGTTTCTACCGGAGCATAATACCTTCTTTTTATCGTCTACAAAATTCTTCTTATCCTATATGTTCATCGTATACTTGGCGAAAATCCTCTCCTCATCCGTTCTTCATTCGCTCGATCGTTTGCAGTTTGCGACGGTCGATCACCATCGAGGAACGCACCCGTCGTCAATTAGTATCGATCCGAATTCTTCCGTTTGTGCCACAGTTGGAATCGCTATTCGAGTGATCGTTAAGACCGCATTAGGAGGATCGTCAACCGTTCCGTCGAACGTTGCACGACCACGCCGAGGATGATCGCCGACTGGAAGCGATCGGGCCGTCCGCCGCTCGATCCACGGTCGGCCGGGAGGGATCGATCGAGGATCCTGGCGTCGGCACCGACGGCGATCGCGCGAACCGTTGCACACGCGGCCGGCGCGTCAGTGAAACAATACTGTATATAGCCGACCCGAAGATACATAGTGCTGCAAGCCGTGTCCTACTAAAGACGCCCCTCCATTTCAGCGCACCGCCCTTTAAAGGGTTCGACACACCATCGGAGTCATGTCAGCGCATATCCGTACCGCTCAATCGTGCGGAACGCCGCGTCTTTGGTACATATGATTGTCGGATTCACCCTCGAATTCACCCTTAAACGCGTTATCGGTCATTAACCCCTTGCTATGCCTCGAGTCGACGTAATGGTTTAGGATAAACTGTTAAATTCGTAGTGTCAAATTATATCCAATTTGATTGATTTTTAATCATATTTATAGATTCGTCACTGTTCCTTATCTTATTGATTAATTCAACTAAAACAATGTAGTTAGACAATTTAAGAAAATATAATTTAATTTGATTCAAAAATTTAGTTTATTATTTACTAAGTGCATTAAAAGCGACGTTGCTTATTTCGAAACTAACCACAGAAATGGATTGATTTACATTTTGATACAAGTTAAAATGTAAATTAATCACTTTGACGCACTTTAAAAGCTAAAAATAAAATGTTATTTAAGAAAAAGAATTGATTTATCACATTGTTCCTTTGATATCTAAAAATACTGTAATAAAGTCTGACCATGATTTTATCCAAAATCCAATTTAAGAAACATATCAAGTCAAGAGAAAGTCAAAATGACTTTTTAACGTCATAGAAGTCAAAATGACTATATTTTCACATCATGAAAGCCAAAATGATGATTTTTTTTTGTTATCAAATTTAATTCATTGATATTAAAAATCAAAATAGTCATTTTGAATTTTTGTAGACTTGTGTGTGTTTCTTAGATATAAAAGGAAAGTTATACTACCTCCCAGTATATGTCCTTTTTTACTTTTACTTACATTATTTCACTCTGTAATTTTAATAAGATTATAAAGTGAAATAGCATAAATTAGAGTGAGATAGTATATGTATATAGAGAGACAGTACATATATCTTTTTCTCTCGCAGAATTTTAACAAAATCGCTTATAATCAGACTTTATATAAGGTCTCCCGTTTAGAGGATAATGCCATGACGTTACGTTTCTCTCGTTTTTTATATTGTACATTCGACGCTAATGGTCTTTGTAGTGATAAATGTTTTTTTTTTAACATTAGTAGTAAACGAGTAGTATAAAAAGACATTAGCTGCAGTCATCGACTTTTCGTTGCCTTCTTACTTGCTGTAATGACTATATATTGTATTAATAGCGACCCTGTACTCATTTTTCCTGTAACACTCGATGTAGCGATTTACAGTAACTGCGTACATAGTTCTATACACTCGATAAAGAAATAGAAAGCTTTTTATATCTCTTTCTACCAATGTAGATTAATTTATTTTTTAATATTCGTTTAATTTTTTTTTAATTAGAAAAACATAAAGTAAATTAAATCAAGATTAAAATTAAGACAAATTAAAAAAATTAAATTTAAGATCTTGGAGATTATCCAGTAAATATCAACTAAAACATAACAGTAGTGTTATAATTTTACTAAACCAAAAAATTATTGCTTATAATATTATTGATTTTTAATCCGGTAAATACTAATGTTATAATGTCACACTCAACAATACAAATGTAACTTAATACATGTATACATAACTGCAGTTGCACGTAACAACAGTTGTATTGAGTGTGAAATTATAACATTGTTGTTATATTCGCAGTCGATGTTTACTGGATTATAAATCAATGTGATATTATAAATGATGATTTTTTTATATGGTGCAAATTACATATTTTTAATATTAAATACGATAATTTATATTTATTACGAATAGTGTTTATTAAATTTATTTTACTTACTAGGAAAATGAGGACAGTGGAGACTTGTCGTTTAATTCTTTTGTATAAATTCTTCATGTTTTCTTGTATTTACTATTTATTCTCTTAATGCCAGTCTAGAATGACGAGTATTCCTTAGTTTGCTAAAAAGCTGCAGACACTTCCTCGTTTCTTTCACGTTTCATCGGTAACTAGGGGACATTTAAGTAGCAAGCGGAACGGTCTCCAGAGTAACTCTGGCGAAAATCGATACAAGGGGTTGAATGCATCACTCATTCTTCTCACGAAAGCGGTCTCGAGCGAACATAAGTATCATGGCACTCTGATTTTTATAAGTCTCATGATATAGTTTCATAATAGTATAATGGGCCGTATTTAAGAATAAATCTTCGAAAAACGATTAATATAAAGTATATGAACAAATTATTTATAATACAGTAATGATTCTTATTTATTAAAAATGTATCGTGTGTTTTGAAAGAACTCTCGGTTTTGATTTTTTTTATTTTTCGTTTTACAAACATTTTTTTATGTTCCTTTTTGTTTTCCAAATGCTATAAACATGTTTACTTGGAGTGTGGAACATTCACTGAAAACATGTTTGCTGAACTTTTATGCTTTGTAATAAAGATGGATCATTAAAGCTAATTTTGCAATGTGCTCTTTGTTTCCTGTTTCTTGCTGTCTCTGTTTGTCTCTTGCCTTTTTGGAATAAGACAAGAGACAAATAGCAAGAAACAGAAAACAAAAAGCACATTGTAGAATTAGCCTAACTTTTAGTACATACGATTGGATCGTTCGCGTTCTGTTTGAATTATGTCACTGAAAAATATACACACAATAATACGCACAATAATATTTAAGTAATCAAAGAATAAAATATTTTTCGCTTAATTTTTAAATGTCTATTATAATTTAATAATGTCGATCTTTTTTTATTAGATCGAGTTAAATTTATCATATTTGATTTTATCGATGATTAGTAACATAAATTTTATTATTTGACGTTGATAAAATCACTGTGAATTGATAATACCTGATTGGATTAACCAATGTTTAGATTATCATCTGTGGGTAATTGTAATTTAACACAAAAATTTATTCGATAATACGCCTTTATCAATAAACATTTAGGTGTATGAAATATATTTTCAATTTTTTACAAATATATATATATATATAAAATAAATATATAATATAAATAAAATCGCGAATAAAAAATAAAGTAATCTGATAGGTTTCATGAATGGCTTTTGTCTCGCTTTTACAATACTGATGTGACGCAGTATATGAACAGCATATGAAGTAAGAATAATATATATTTTTTAATACATGGATTATTAAAAAATGTCTGTGAATAGCGTTACGGTATTGTTTGCGTATGTTTTTCATGGAATGTATACACTGTAAATTATAGCTGGCGATGCTCGTAGAAGTGTAGGTAGAATATATTGATTTCCGATTTCTGTTGTACGTCGTATAGCTATTGTTGGAGGATAATATTTCAACAAGGTGAATTTGAGTCGTTCGTAAAACTATTTCCGACGTACAATAAAATAATACATTGTTATATCAGACGTGATTTTAATCATTTCTCCGACAGCGAGATATAAGGCGCGCAAAACCGCAAAATCCGCAAAATTTCTTTCGTACTTATTCATTTCTGCGCGATAAGGCGAATTGTTAAACTATATTCTTCTAAAGATTTAAAAGTAAACGCGAGGAAATAATATTTTCTTATTTATTAAATTCATGTTAACTTAATTGTCACGAGAGCAATTCCGAGAGATTTACTGCTAGTTAGTGGCTAAGTTCGTTACCGGCAGAACATATATTTATCTACCGTTACAATTAATAATTAATTTGCTGATGCTCGCAATTTGCTGAAAGTTTCGTTCGTTAAACTAGCGAAATTAATTTCGTCAGCGGTTTGCAAGATGGTAATTAATAGGTAATAGTATTATTATAATACTGTCGTTAATATTATAAATATGTTCGTCGCTCGGAAGTTTATGTAATATAATAATTATTTTTTTTGCACAATGCTTACTAGAATATTGATAACGTGATTTGATGAAACTCATGAGAGACTTGTACATTATTTTAAACATTATTAATTTAAATTACGATACGAATGTAAACTTTATAAAGACTTTATAAAGACATAGGACACATCATTTTTTAAATAATTACGCATTAAAAATCAATTTAAATTAATAAATATTTACAAGCAGATACACCCATTACATAAATTTAATATTGAGAGTAATTAATTCCTTATTTTGAATATTAAAAGCTGATGTTCAAAATGATTAATTTGGTTTTTAGTACTCGAAATAAGTAATGTCCAGTATTAAATTGGATTTCTGAAAGAATCGACAAAACAGTAAACTCCTGCCTGCTTCAGTTTATTCAAAGTCGAATCTAGCTAAATACGCATTTTCCCACTGGAGAGTCAAGGACAAGTCAATGGGGATTGATCTTCTTCCGTATATTCAATTTTTTATGGACGTCATAACTTGTCTCAATAGATACCCTTACAGAAATCTAATACTGGACAATTTATTACTGAAAGACAGAAATTAATTATTTATTTGGTGTACTAAAATTACTAAACAATAGTGTCCTTAATACTTAAAATGAGTAATTATGCTGTCTTTTAATATTGGCCAGTATTAGATTTCTGTAAAGGTGTTCACGGATATTCACAGAACCATAGATATTTAGATAAATACGTTGCAAGCTAGTAAAGTATATATCCTGATCATGTAGTGTTACATAATCCGCTTGCATATTTGCGCTGTGAATTCTTTTCGCTATGCTCACCAAGAAAAAAATTACCTCCCTGTTTACGAGCTGCAAGAGATAGTTTTCTATTGTACGTTCATGTCTGGAGCGCATTTATTAAAAGATTAATATTTAAATTTAAAATATGTTGCAAGATCTGACTTCACATATTTTACGGGATTATAGATTAAAATTACATTTCTCGTCCGTTGCTTCAACCGGATTTTCATTTTTACATGTTCGTCTATCTTATTTTATCGATAACTATATTGATAATTATATCACTTTTCTATAGTATCAAATAAAAAAAATACTTTATATCTATTCTATATTTTATATTCATGTTAAAACATAACATATTGCTACGTATAAATTTATGTTACTGATTTCATACACTTTGTATGTAATAAAACATATTTTAGCTTTTCTCAATTTTCATTAATGTTTGTGATTTAACCGTTTGCTGAATATTTTATTGTAGAGTCTAAAATGCCTCTTCTTTTCTTTCTTCTCTTTAGATAATTTGCTTTGAAATATTAATAAACTTTTTATTTTCCTTTATCTTTATTACCGTTACTCAAATGACTTTGTTTAGCTTTTGACTTTTACCGCAATATTTTATTTATCATTAACATAAGATTGCACGATGAAGCTGTTTTCCCAAGCATAATATAAAAGTTTGTTTGCAGCTGTATTTAATATCAAAAGTTAAAACACTTTATTGACTATATTATGCTTTAGCGATATAAATATAGCTTTTTAATAATATATTTTCGCTTTATCTACTATTTCCAGCAAAAATATAAACATAATAAAATGGCACATTATTTACAGTGCTGTACTCAGCATTTAGTAAAGCAATGTCGAGGTATACAAATATTAATTTATTTCAAATCTATTGTTTTACGTTTTCGTTATAAATAACGAAATTATTATTTCCACATTACAAATGAACTTTAATTTAACATATAAATTAAACCTTGAAACTTGTCTAAAAGCTGTTATACGTAAAAAAAATTGTAGTTGTAATCATAAGAATCCAAGAATATCGACGGTCGAGCGTTTGGAGACGCAAGATCATAATTTTTATTGGCTGCTTTCAGCAGAGAAAGTGACTCTGCAACTATTGTAAAATTCTTTAATATGATTAGTCTTGCCCTTAATTCCCCTCATTAGATTTAAATCATAAGTTATCACAGTTAGGTAGTAATCCTTGAGCCGTAAGAAATTGATCAATTACAATCGAATGTGGGAAGAATAATCGACTATGATATTGGTCCATTTTTTAATCATTTCCCTAATAACACAGGTTTCTAAAGGACATCCCTCAAATAAAGTGCTATCAGAGAGGATTCTTATATTTAAAACTGTAATAAGTAAGTCTTAAGATGTCATGAACCAATTATAGAGCCGTATTAGCATCTTAAGATATTACTTGAGACAGTCTTGAAGAACCGATTATGAATATTCATCTTAATACTTAAAGCTTAATACAACATCTATTGTGCTTCAGGACTTTACTTGTTTCTACCAATGTAGTTTAATTTTAATTTCGATTCAACTAAATTTTTATCTTTCTCTAGTTCTAAGAATTACAAAAAAATGAGTAAGTTGAACTGAGATTAAAGTTAATCTATATTGGTAGAAACGATAGGTTTTTCTGTGAGCCATAACCTTAAGGTGATCACAAAGTCATCTGTTTTATCGATCGAATTCGATTATTTTTTATATAGGTATTTTTTTAATCATCTTTGCAGATTTAAAATCCTTTTTTACGCATTTAAAGTATACACGGTAATGTAGTCCAAGTCGGTCGACTTTATGCTCAAAAACAAAAAAAATGGAAAATTGCAGTTTTATTATCGGTTTCTGGTATCGACTTGTAACAATATTTGCTTTAGAGTTTTATACTTTGTACATACAAAACAATCTTAGTTGGACCTAGAGATTACATGAACAAGCAATATTGAGTTCTTAGAATTAGATATCTTAATATCTAATATGAAAGATTAATGGCTTAGAAAATTTGTGCGAATGTGTGCGTGCAATATTGGTGCAGTAGTGTGTAGTGATGTGATGACACGTAAATCATATATGTGTAAATCCTATTGAATCAGTAAAGCAGCAATCACGTCGGAGATATCGAAGTTCAATTTTCTTGGGATCCTTTCAAGGAGCGACATTGTTCGCTGAAAGCTCAAGGAAGACAATGTGAAATATTATCGAAAATATTTGTGACGAAATCTATCATTAACGGCTGATTGGCGCGATAATCGCGATAATCGTGTCGGTGCGATCGCGACTTCCTTGTGTCACCGTGAGATACCCAGATCCTCCAGAATCCGGAGATCCTGGGACATTCAATAAATCTCCCATCCTCACTGCGAAAGAAAAGTACATCGTACTTGTAACTATAATCGTATGATAAAACAATTATAGTCAGGAGTATCATTTTTAGTTATTATTACTATAAATTAGTAACAATAATCTTATATGTATAGTTACAACATTTTATAGTATAGTTTATGTAAGATAATCATAATTAGTTGAATGAATACATATTATGGTCGTTACGATCGATAATTCGGTATTCAAATTACTATAATTCATATTCAAAACAATTATATATTTATAGTTGTTTCAAAAAATGACTTGTAAATTACAGTTAAATGGTTACTCCAACGATTTTTTTTTCTCTCAATGCGCGTATGCGTGCACGCACGCACGTAAGCATGGTCGGGAGTGCATCTACGCGTAATATGACATGTCGGGCCACGGTAGCGCGCCGCCAAAAATTCAATCCGGCATGTCAGCACGCCGCTGTGTGTATCAACATTGAAAAATCAATGGTAACTCGTGACGTAGGTGTCCCGCCTCAACAACAGCCAATGGATGCGCCGGTTCGTCCCTACCACTCTCGTCATGACTCGCAAGACCCTCGTTTATCCACGCGCAGACCGGCGTGCTTATTCCGTAGCGGACTGCCGCATTGTACGGACGTGAGTTGAGAAACGGATTGCCGGAACAGGCGATACGCCAGCTGTAGCTAAACGGAAAGGGCATAAAAGACGCACGCATTATCGAGCATATCGCAAACGCACTTGTGCGAGCGCGACGTGTATGAAGTTTTCCAGTTCGATCTGCCGGACGTAGCGATTATCGTCAACATCGTCGACACCGTCAGCGGGAATCGACATCGATCGCGATTGATCGCAAAGCGGAAGAATTCTTCGGAAGCGAAAATTCTTAGCGAGAACTCGTAGGCAAGGCATCATCCGTTGGAGCTGCTGACGCGCCAGTGTAACGATTGGCCTTTTCTCTATCTCTCACTCTTGCGTGGTGCGAGCCGTGCAAGGTATTAAAACTTTCTAGAGTATCTAGAAAAGCGGTAGAAAGAGAGAAAGAGAAAGAGATTGCGGAACGTAAAAAGATAGGGACGAACTGGGCAGGCGAAGTGTGAAACGGAGACCAGATAATAAAAGTCTACGAGATGGCGTTTATGATGCCTGTGGTGAAAAACGAATGGGATATTTACAAGACTAATAGGAGTCGACGATCGTCCGAGTGCTCGAATCCGCAGGCTTGTCGCAGCCGAAAGGTGAGTAGGATGATGTTTATTTACTTTACACTTGGTGCGGCGTTTTTTCAAATAGACTTCGAGTGACTGAACGCTCCTTTGATATGAGAGAGGCAGATAGAAAATTGCCGGAACCGTTAAGATACACATATGTCATCATTCATGTTTAAATTTCCCTGCCTTTATTTACGATACGAAGTAGAAATGCAAATCGAAATTGATATTAAATAAGATAATATTGAGAGAAAAGTATTTTTTGTATTTGTGATTATAATTCATGGTAAACAATTCTGGTTAAGAGCTTTATTTTTATAATTATTACTGTTGTAATATTAGTAATAATAATAATTAGAATCCTTTTAAAAAATATATAGTTGTCATCGAAAACGACTAAATTATAATCATTATAGTTATTATTTCTAAAATGTTAGTAATATTATTATAATATAATAATATTTCGAGTCTAAAAAATGTACATTTGGCATCAAATATGACCATAAATTGTAGTTAAATTATGATAATTGCAATCATTTTTTTCTCAATCTTTGATGAGGAGTATACAACTGCTAAAAAAAATGTCTATGTTTCACGAAGCGCTAATTGAAAAATGCTGTTCCGAATATTAAAAAATAGTCTGATAATGTGCATTATTGGCAATATATTTAAAACATAAAGATTCTTCGCAAGAATTGATATAACTTTGGTATTTTACGTATATAATAAAAAAAATAACTATATGGCAGTAAATAAAAGGAGCGAAAGAAATTTATATTACATAACTTTTTGTATTAAATGAAAAGTGGGAGTTTAACTTTTTATCCGTATTGCACGACCGTTGTAACGATATATGGCGATATACGTCGCTAAAAAAAAATCGAGTGTTGATAAATATTAATCTTCGTGCGTGATTGTCAACGTGTTCGGTGTCATAAAATGTCAAAAGTTTTTCGAGAGTTTTAATTTGCAAGACACTACAATACAGTGAATTTAATGAATTCAGATGAATTCGACAATCCAGTTTATATCGACAACGCCAGTGACGTAACTGCGCATCTGTATTGTCATGCGTATAGATTTTCCTTTAATCGTTTATCGACGGCAACATATAAAAAAAAAGTTTGCAAATAATTCTTTTTTTTTTTTTTGAAAGTTTACATGTTGAGAGAATATCGTTTACAAAATTGCAAAAGACTCAACAATGGCGCCGGCCAGTTTTGATGCGTCATTCGCGCATTATATCGCATGTATATTATTAACGCGAAAGCATTGCAACCGCCAGCACGAAAAATGAAATACGCGTTTAAGGAAAATCGTTATGCGCATACTTTCGCCGACATATCTTGCTTGTTGCACGGTTTTGGGATTATTTACGGGCGTTCGTCGGAAAAAGGATTGCGCGCAAAATTGCAACGAATAGACAACGGGCGAGAAACCGAGAAAGAATGTCGCCACTGCACCAGTGCGATTTTTTCGCAGGTCTGGCGAACCGGCAGACACAGCCGTCTTGCGAAGTGCGGCACGTCCGATCGTCCTCCCGTCTCGGTTCTCATGGTAATCGGCCATCCTAGCTTTACGCGGCGTGTCGTTTCGTTTTTCCAATCTGTCAGAGGCGTTTATTTTGAAAATATAATAGATTTTGTTGTATTATATGACTTGTTAGAAATGAGATGAGCATATTTAAATATTGATGAGAAAGCTGTTTCAACAGCTGCTGCATTTGTCAACCTTTTCAAAATAAACGCTTCATTTAACTCCCATAGCTTCAGGAAATATCGATTGATTTACATTCAAGAGTATCTCTAGAAATATGTTTTTTATTATTAAGTAAAAGAAAAGATTTATATTAAATATTTATATTAAAAGAAGATATAATTGAGAAAGATGTATAAAGACATAAAGATATTATTGTTCTGTTTGTTCGGTATTGATAAGTAATATAAATATAGTATCGATTTTCTTGGAGCTATACAAGAGCTAATTGCAATTTGTTACCCTTTTGATTGTTCCTGTAAAATATCCTGCTTTTCTTATGTAATTATGTTATTTATGTGACGTTGTGTAACTTAGTATAATTGTGTACACATAATGCAAATTCCGCGATAATGGAAATGTTGAATTAACGATCTTGAATTAACAGCGAAAATATATAATTCCATTTGAAATATGAAATTTTCTCGAGAAAGAGAAAGAATGACTTAACAAAATATTGATTATAATTAGATTTCGACTCAAGTCATTAATAAATTAATTAAATCGTAAATTAATATAAACGAAGCAATTAAGATTTTATAGTAAATCTAAATTTTTTTTCAAATTAAATTCAAATTCATCGATAAAGACACATACTGCTTTAATCTGTGTAGTCCTTTCAGATTTGTCTCAATAACTGTTGCTTTTGTGATGTGTATGTATTACAATTTTTACATGTCTTTTGTGTATGTTTTTAAATACAAAATTTTCAAATATAATATCTTTTCACATCAAGATGGAAATAATTGATAATATAGAAAATTAATTCTAGATTGCGTGATACGCGCGTCTCTAAAATTTTGTTAATGTGAAATTAATTTGAATTGAGAAGTAAACTTTCACCCCTATCTATATGATGTTTTGAACTTGTTATAGAGTTTTCTTTTTCTATCTTTAATATTTAAAATTTTCCACTGCCTTATATCAAAGACAAGTTATCTCTAAATTTGTCATAAAAATTTTAACCGTGAGGAAATTTGCGATCCATGCAGCAATAAGATGAGTTTGATTGCTTCCTCTGAGCGTCAAGGACAAATCAAACTTTTTTTTACACGATTGACCGTGTTCGTAACTCGCAACGTCGATCGTTCTCCTCGCGCCGACGTTCGTCGATAAATAGCTCGGAAAAAGTCGGACCTTTTTTTTCTCGTGACATCGCTGCCGTAAAAGATCAACTCGCCGCACTCGGAACCGGTTTCTCCCTTGGCATCACTAAACGTTCAGCGAAATTGTATTTGCAGATGCTGAATAAGCATAGTCAATAATAGGTGACGATCGAAACCACGTGTCTCGACGGATAAATACACGCCGGCTAGAAATTTATTTTTAACACGACGTAGGCAGTTATGCGTATAATGTTGTGAATTGCATTCGGTTTATTGCGCTCGTAAATGTTATCGCAAATGTCATATTGCCGATGGTATTGCGACTTTTGTGTTTATTTCATTTTATCATTTACATATGAAATAATTTTATATAATATAATTTTATGCAATAGTGACAACGACAATTATAAATTAATTAACAAGAGTTACATGGAATTATTGTAAATTCCATTAATGCGCTAATCAGTGTATGAGAAGTTTGGGCATAATGATGTAACATGTTTACTTATTACCGTATTTCCATAGTGGTTTATACAAGTATCACTTATTATTTCATCTTACTCGAATATTTTATAATTTTTAACACTAAAAACATTTCTTATTTGTTAAAAGGAGATGAAATGAATAAATTACTATATAAATATTTTAATATAATTAGTGAAAGTCAAAATAATTTCAGAATCCTGTCTCTTTACAGAAATATAATATTAATCTGAAATAATAAATTGCACGCGGTCATAAATGTTATCGCGAATGTCATATCATCGATGGTACTGCGATTTTTGTGTTTACTTTATTTTATTATTTACATATGAAATAATTGCACGATAACAGTGACAACGGAAATTACAAATTAATTAACGAGAGTTGCATGAAATTATTGTAATTATTAATGCATCAATAGATATGATAAGTTCAGACATAATGATAATAACGTGTTTACTTATCATCATATTTCCATGGTAAAGCGGTTTATACAAATGTCACTTATTTTTCCGTTTTACTCGAATATTTTATGTACCTTTAACATTAAAAGCACCAACATTTCTTATTCGCTAAAAGAGAACGAATCGAATAAATTATTATATTATGAAAAAGTGATAAAAAAACTAAACATTTTATTATAATTATTGAAAAGTGATAAAGTTTCAGAATTCTATCTTTTAGAGAAACATAATATTAATTTAAACAATACATAGTTTCTAGTGTTAACGGACATACTTATCGTAGAGAATTTTTTTATGTTTAAAGTATGAGTAATTGAATACGAGAGGATGAATAAACGAGGTAATTCCAGGTGCATCAATTATCATGATTAAACTATGAATCACTTCCTTTAGATAATTTAGAACAGATTTCACTTGTGATGTAAAAATTTGAGATTAATATCATAAATCGAAAGGTTGTGACGTCATATATTAATTATGTAATGTATGCTAGTGTGATTTAGGCTTTGTCAAATTATTTCTAATGGAAATATATTCTTGTAGGTCTAGGACGTGCAAAGTAGTATATCTATGACATAATATTGCGCAAACTTCGGTTTCGCAACCTATCGTGCGGTAGACTCTCATACGGATTCTCAATCGTTGAAAGTTGCTTATCTGTTTCATTCATTCTATAATCGCATAATTTGTAATAAAATATAATAGTGTGTATATTTATATATTGCGTATTTAATCTCAATTAAATTAATTCCTCGAAAGATTATTATCAGAAGTTAATATGATAAAATTGGGATAAAGGTGCAATTTTCTAATTATTCATATGTCTTACATCATTCTGTGAATCATTCATTATGTTGCATTTTTAAATCATTCATTATGGCTTATTTTTAAACGAGTTCTTTAATTTTTACGTTTCCACATTTTAATTATTGCGGTAAATTTTTTACGCCATTTCATAAAGTAATAATGATAATAACAGAAATTTGTTATTACCTAATGTGTTGCATAATTTGCTAGGCCGATAAGTTATCGTTTTCTCATCAGTTTTTTCTGATTTGAAATATGGTAGTCTTAAAGATTAATACTTAAAAAAACATTCAATTTTTTTAAAAACCATAAATCTATACTTTTTTAAATATGTAATAATTAATGATACTGTTACAAAATTAAAAGATTTGTCGAAAAGACTCTGCGCAAGAATGAGATAATTCCACAGCTCTTCAACCATGAAGAGACTGCATTACGGGAATATTGCAGCTTTAACAGGAACGCGTGTCGCGACAAAAGTTATGTGCATGAAAAAGATATTCGCAAGATACAAGACAAGATGATATAACTGTTTCCATTTTGCGTAAGCTAGCAATCTTCGGTTTCGACCCGGATAATTTTGCGAATTTTGCTTTTTTAAATGCCGTTTCTTGAACTTGATACATTTAAAATAAGATAGAGTATTTAAGAAAGATAGTAGTTTGTAAATAAAAACGATGCGAAAAGAATAATTGACAAGAAACGAAAACATGATTATGCGGATAAATCACAACTTCTCAATTTTAGCTCTTATTTCTTTTCTCGTTTATTTTTAAATAAGGAAAGTCTGATAATTGTACGCGATTATTAAATAACTCAAGATTATTTTGAGACGAATAAAATAATAAAATATTTAAAAATACAATATTAAAAAATTTTGATTTTTAAAATATTTAAGCATATATTGTATTTTTTAAATATTTTTTAAATAAGTAATTATAATTTTTTATATTATCATTTGAAATACGATCACTCATAACGTGACAATAATTATATATGTACGTAATCTGATTAATAAAGTAGCGATTAATTAGTTATTAGCAATTAGTTATTTAGTTATTATTAAATTAATAGAATAATTATCAAATATAGATATTTATGATCCATTATTATCAAATTATTAGAATAATGATTAAATATGAACAAAAATATATTCTTAATATTTCGTTCTATATATAATACATAATGAGGAGTTAATTTCCGTCACGGGTAATGCGTTGTACTGTTATAAAAACGCGTGAACGGGATATTTTTAATCAACTCTTTGTCCTTCCATGCCGATATTTAGAGCCAACTTGAGCACGTGACACTGAAAGTTACAAGTACGCAGTACGATAGAGATATGATTATTATTGCCAGAACATTAATGCAATCTCACGGGAAATCATTGCCAATTATATAACACGAAGCTGTTAGTTTGTGTATTGCGTACTTTTTAATCTGTGCGACATGCATTATCGCATGATATAGCCGTATCGCCTAATTATAACATATTTTCGTGAAGCTTTTTTAAGTACGCTTACCGTCGGAGAACATAAATATTGAAATTAATGCTGAATTTAGATATCAATTTATGCATTTAAGTTGGTGTAGGTATATAAATTTCAATAACAATACTTCAAGCTCTAAAAATATCCGTAAATCACATTCGAATTAATTCCAAAAGCTGATAATTAAATAAATATATATCTGTTGGCTATTAAAAACATATATTTAATTATGAAATAAACTATTTTGAGCAGCATAAAGGATTAATACAACAAATTATTATTCATAGTTTCCTCGGGAAATTATTTGGAGACCTAATTAATTCTACAATATTATAATATTTGTATGTTTTAATTTTAAAAAATTGTCATTTGTTATTAATAATCTCTAAGCTGTACATGAGATATTAATTTTTATTTATTTATTTATTTAATCTTTTCCTTTCGGATTAAGATTTTCAGTTTATATCTCACAAGATATTAATTATCAAACGAGATTAGATTTATTGTCGTGTTAATGATTAACATGAAACTCGGAGCATTAACAAATCAGCTGCAAACACCTGTTCTGAATTTGTTCTGTATGCCGATAGCACAGTGAATAATCGATCGTTGTTCTTATTTTCAATACTTCTATTTTTATCTCGTATTACGCTCTGATAAAAGGTTCTTTATTAATACGAATAATGGATCGCAATAAGATTAAATGAGAAACGTTTACAGACTCCACTTGTGCCTCCCCCCTCCCTATCAATACAGATTGCGTTGTATTTCACCTCTGATACATAGGATTGCGTAACCGCACGTAATACAACAGCGAGAATAAATTCGGTATATAGGTAAGATTAGAATCAGAGGAGCAAAGTGAGTTAATAATCGCTGCGACAATAAACATTGTACTCTGTACTTATATAAAAATTATTATACTCGAGAATTTTAAATAATATGATATATTAATAATTCTTTTAACCCATTAATGCATTTTAACCCATTTCTTGCCACCGTCCTGTTTATATCTTTTCTACAGTGTCTTAGTTCTGTTCTCTGTACACAATGTATATAATCCATATGCATAAAAGAAATTGAAAAGATACTTCATATGGAGTATTTGTATAGAGAAAGAAGATTTTATCTTATGATGCTGAAAATATGATAGTGAAGAGAAATGGATTAATAATTTTTTATGTTTATATGTGTAAAAAAATATAAAAATTCTAGATGACAAGAAATTAAACAACTTTATGTTCAAAAATATTGAGCTCTAAAATATGAAGAAGAAAATTAGAACATTTATCATTAAATTTTTATGAGAACATAAAGATCTATATTCTTGCATTTCATTCAAAAAGTGAATGCGTAAAAGTGATTAAAAAGAATAAAAAATAATTTAAATAAGGTTCTTGATGTCATAATTAAAGTTTGAAATGATTAACTAGTTTAATAAATTGTTGATAAAATTTATTTCAGAAAATATGAGAATCACTGTCTGAGAATCACTATCAATTTCGTTTGTCGTCACTGTATGTGTAAATGAAGGGACACACATGAAACAAATCTGATCTAATCAGCCACTTACCTCCTTCTACCGCGATGACACGACGAGTACGTGATCTCAAGTCCGATGTAGATCGTACGAACGACGTGGAAAAGGGCACGTACGCGTTTGTGCGTGTCGAATATATGCGTATGCGTCATATACATACGATATAGACATTTTCCAATTTTTATTGTGCTTCGGCGTTGAATAATTCAGAATGACTCACCCAGTTCGCACTCGACAACCTCACAAACACGCAAATCAATTAGCCAAATGACATCGTTATTGTCGCATGGGAGTTGCACACGTTTCATTTGTGAGAGAAATGATAGATGCATGTCCTCATGCGAATTAATTGCGTACCCGTTACAGTTATTGCCGTTATCACGATTCTCTTGACGTTAACGTTTAGGTACATATTTGGACATAAATGCTGATTAAAGGAAGTTACGGTAACTTCAAAATATTATTACTCGGTGCTTCCAAATACATTCCTTTTCGGTCTTTAACATCTTATCAATATAGGTACGAATATTGCATGAATCATATCTGGATTGCTATCATATTAAAAAGCCTAAGTACTTTAAATTGATATTTTGAATCGTTTTAGTATATATCAGAGGCAACTTTCTACAGTAAATTAATGTAAATTAAAGTAACTTGCAATAGTAAAATTATTTGTAATATATTTTATATATATTATAGTACAATATAAATAGAAATATTTCTAATTTTTTATTTGATCGCATTATTTACAGCGCAAAATTTGTTGGATAAAAATCATTATGAAGATAAATGTTTAAAAGATAATCTGTTGAAACAATTTGTCTCATTGTTCAAGAATGTAATGAAATTCTTCACGTGTCATCAAATTAATTGCCAATTGAAAAATTCAAATCAATGTCTGTCAACATCAGGTTTTTTTTTAATCATGCAGGCTTGCTATCAAAATCAGGAAAGTGTCAGAAAAATTTAGTATTTAGTTTATTATTACTGTCTATTACTCGCACGTGTTAAAATAATATCACGGAGTTCATCATAGCTTCCATCGTTCGCACAATAAGCAACAGACGAATGACTTCGACAAAGTGGGTGCGCGAAATCTGTCGTTATCACGACGATGATTGCACTTTATCGTGATTTCGTGATGAATGTTAGAATAGAATCTGGATGAAAGGCAAATCACACGAGTAAAGACTGTAATTGTAAATAATGATGGAATAGTGATTCGTTAATGGTTTCGATTATAGTTGATGATTTCGTCCTTGCACGTTGATAAATTATTTAATGCCTTAGAGACAAATAATAACCATTAAAATGTTAATATAATAATCTTGATTTGGTGAAATGATAAATTCATCATCATTTTTTATTACAATTTCAATAATAATTATTATTTTACAATACACTCTAGTAACATCTAACGGTTTACGAACTTTTGCAAACATCTAATATAAAACAGATTTTCTGTAATCTTGATGCCAATAATGCACACGATAAGACATGGAAAAATTTTACCCAGGAAATTTTCCCCAGGAAATTTTCCCCATAATCCGGAACATACCGGTTTTTTTTGTAGGTATCCGAGTGTTCCAAGTCGGAGGGACCGTCGTTGTCGACCTCCCCTGGTTCCGACTTTCTTACCTCGCCGGCGCACCGGTCTGTGCCGCTGACCTCGCGGCACTTCTCGAGGACGTCTTCAAGGGCGTCGCAGAGCTCTCTCCAGAGCCCGAGCAAGAGCACGAGCACGTCGCCGCCGAAGACCGGCAGCTCGAACTCCCTCAACAAGTTTCATAATCGATTGGTGGATAAGCTGAAGCGCTCGCTGAAGAAGGCAGAAGATTGCGCGGAGGATCAACGTAATCTATCGTGAAACAGTCAAGGGGTTTTGGGCCGGCCACCCGCGTCCGGCTCGAAACCGATCGAGATCCGACGCACTTCGGCACCCGTTACCGTATCCGAGTCGAGCAGCAACGTGGCGGCGCGCTCGTGTCCGGATCCGCCTTCAGCTTGGTAAAGAAGAAAAAGAAAGGAGAAAGAAAGAGATGATAATGCCGGAGGAAACGAGAGCAACGGAGAATGTGTGTGAATATGCGAGAGAGTATGATCGAGAGAGAAAGAGAGAGAGAGAGAGAGAGGGGGAGGGAGGGGAAAAATGTCGCGCGGATGTCTGAAGGAGGAGAAAGGAGTTCGCACACGTTCAGCTCGAAAGTGAGCACGTTCAAGTTTGTTAGCCCAACACAAGCAAGGAAGAGGAGGAGTTGGTTGAACGATCCTCGAGCCGTTGTGTTCGACTCGCTGGATGTCGACAGTCGATCATGTCAAACAGCCTCACGGATCGAGAGACCTCGATCGAACGATCGGACGCAGCATTGGTGAGTGCTCGAGAGGACGAAGAGACGCTTGGGATGTTCCTTTGGACAGCAACATTTTTAAGATGATCTGCAGTTCCGCGACTACGCCGATATATAAAAGCCAAAGCAATATCGATGAGCCAATATAGTGCAAAGCTCTGATTTTACGTTCTCCAATTTGAGAATCTGTTTAAGATGGCGTGAGAAAGAGCAAAAGAAAAGGAGGAGCTGGGAAGACAGTGAGATCGCAGCCGATCGATCGATCGATATTGATCGAGGAGATTTCAAGGAATCATCGAAGATCATCGAAAGTCAAAGGACAATCGTGAAGGACGAAGGAATCGGCGACGGAGGAAGTGAGGTACATAATGATAAAAACAGGATTACAATATCGAGATCTTGTCTTGCACAAATCACGAGATGTCTCGCACGTTGAATGTCGCAGACTCGCGATCGGTCGGTTATATGGAATAAAGTCACTTGAGTTGCCAGACCTAAATATTAAGTTCCTTCATCGCGCGCGATTTCTTGTGCGCATTGCGCTATATACGTTATTCTTTTCCTAACGTAGGACGATTGGGAACGAAGATCGAAAGGAGAAAGACATTCAGCGGGCGCGAAAGTGTTTTCGTGAAGGAAAAATAATTACCTGGAAGGATATCGTGAAGATGCTCGAAAGAAATCTGATATATAATTTAATATAGATTAATATAAAAACCATTTTTTTTCTGATGTCTCAAATGTTCCTCTAAACCTTCCAAATTTTCCAGCATCTTTCGAGTATCTTTTAGATATCCTTTTGATGCTGATGCGTTTATTTAGCGGGCGCGAAGATGTTCCTGGTTTTCGTGGAGGAAAAGTAATACCTGAAGGACGACATGATGATGCCTGAAAGAAATCTGATATAAAATCTGATATAAATTGATATAAAAATAGTGTTTTATGTTTAATATGAAAGTGTTTCTCTAAACCTTTCAATCTTTCTGGCATCTTTCGAGTATCTTTTAGGCTCTTTCTTGATGCGTTTATTATTTCTTTGCCAAATTATTTTCGCGTGAAACACGTTAAACAGAACCGCGTATCTTCAATCATAACATCCAATTAACTTTCTCGCAACCTAGACTGAAAAGCGTTCTCTAATCAGTACGTCACGCAAAACCGTTTTAAAGATAGAGGCTCATACTCTTTGCACGTTAAGCGCGACTCTGTTCTGATTGTGTTATTTATTTGCTTAATTGATACGTGAAGTTTATATATATATATATATATATATATATATATATACACACATTCGGCGTGAAATGAGGACAGAATCGGCGCGAGATGCGCGGCGAGAAATATACGGGCCAACTTGCAAAGAGAGAGTCGCTAGCGTAAGAAGCGCCGCGAAAAATGTCGTTTTTATTAAACAGTAACAAGGCTCATTCGTTGTTGTTCGGATTAGGTTCGAGTTTGCGTGCTGGAAGCAGCAACGGCAGTTTCTCGCCTTTGCGGGATCGGATTTCGTCGTGCAGAGGAAGGATACTGTGCGTATATGTGCGTGTGATTCAGGGCCGCGTATGAATGTACGCAACTTGCGTGCTCACTTCGGGTCACCGAGCGTGCGAAGCCTAAGAGACTTGATTTATTTTCACATATATATATATTCCTATTCAACGTCGCAAATTTATGTATATCAATTATACTTACGTATCCTTGTAAGCGCGTTCGCTCTGCGCGGATCTCGTTTTTAGGGATCTCCCCTTCAGGAAACCTTCATGGAATACAATCGCGGCGTATAATACGAGGAATATAATACGAGGAACATTTTTCACGTAGAACTGATGCGTCGAGTAATGTATTTTAATATTTGAAAAATAGCCTCGGAGTACAGAAAAATTCAAGTACCATCGCGGAAAAGGTTTTTTTCTAGAATGCTATTGTGGGTGAATTTTCATTCAAATGTGCTACTTTAAATTCAATACAATTTTTATTAAAATTTTTTTTATTAAAATTTATTAAAATTTTTATTTTTAAATTAAATTTTGATGACTTGAAATAATATTTGATGAAAATTGTTTAACATTAAAGTTCTCTTTTTTTACAAAAATAATTCAATTTTTCTCTACATCTTGCAACCTACTATAAAGTACTATAAAGTAGACAAAGAGAGTGTAAAAAGTTCTCAATTAGTATAAGTAAATTTTCATTCAGACTAGTGTTAGTGTAAGAAAAATTTGAACTTTCCAAGATTAAGAAAAATCGCATTCTGCCATTCTAAATGACTCGAGTATTGTGCATAGACTTGCTTTATATTTATACTTTATCAAACGCTAAAACTTCCTTTAATTTTTCGTGATTGTTTTTCAAGAAAATCAGAAACTTATCGAGCAATTACGCATATCAGCTTATTGAACGATATATTGCTGTTTCCTTCGTGTTGTATCGCGTACGATACGATAGCGCTAAAGTACACGGCGTGGCCTATATAGGGAAGCATGAGAGATGCATCCGGTACCATTAACGATGCATTCCGCGGTGTATGTGTGTCGTATTGTAAGAGGCGCGATTTGCGAGCGCTATCGTTCTATAGACTTCTGCTTTCCTCAAATCGCGCGCGGGCTGGGCGAAGATATTTTTTTGAACGAATTTTCGCCACACTCGTCGCTTGCCATCGAAGATGTAGACAACGTTTTTCTCCTCGAGATATTTCTCGCGCGCCCGAGTTATTCGTATTTGTTGTTTCGCGTCGTCGCTACAGAGCGCTTGTTAATTTTTTCACATGTAATATATAATATATATATATCTATATAATGTATTGTTTCGCGTTACAAGTTGAGTCGGTCGGAGGGAAGGAGGTGCGGGAAGGGACGTGTGCTCTTTGCAGATCGCACGTACAAAGGACTTCGAGTGTTACAAAGAAGAAGCGTTAACTTCGTCTTGATGAATGAGAGATTTTCGTCTTGAGAAATACATCTCCTTTTTCTCCGAAACATCATTCCAAAGATATTTTTTTGACGTAATTGATAATTAAAAGATTTGTTTTTTGTACGCTAATTAATTAACTCTTCGTAATCATTGAGATTATTTGATCACCCAAACAAGTTCGAGAATATATATTTTTAAATTCTTATTTTGAAATGAGATTTGATCTGCTAATCTGCCTGAAGTTCAAAGTGATAAATGATGAGTAATAAGTCAAGTGACGAATTTTTTTAATTTAAAATACAATAAATATTGAGTGAAACATATTGCACGAGAATTTCGAAATTTGAAAATTTTAACTATTATATAAATTTTAATTAAATTTTTTTAGTGATTGAACAATAAATTTAAATTGATTTATTTTTAAAAATGTAGCTAACACTCGATGTTCTTCGCGTCCGTTGACAAATGCTCTGATTTTTCCCCGCGATGGGCATAATTTGCATGCTTTCTTTCTATCGGTTGCGTATCGGCGATTACGAACTGGGAGCAATTAAGCGATGCCGCGTGTAACTCTGTGATACCGTAAGCTATAAGATAGAATTATTCTGCAACGATTAAGGGGGTTAGAGGGCGGATATAGTTAGGACGAGATTCGAACGCTTCGATTCTTCATCGGTCGTGGACTCGCGTTCTTTGAAAGCGTCAAAATGAGGAATTCATTTTTGGTTGGGCTGAACAACACGAGGGTGCTCCAAATAAGGAGAAAATCTCTGATAATTTTTTTTTCAAAAAAGAGAAAGAACGTTGCTTTCGGATTTTTTTCGAGAAAGACGAAGGAATTCTGGTACACGAGCATTTGAAGTCGTTTACGTCCGTCTTAACGTGTATATTATAATATTAAGAGTCTGAAACTCCGAAAGCGTTCATCGATTATACTCGGTTGAAAGAAAATATTGTGGAAGTTCATTTATTTTCAGATTGCAAAACAGATTTTAAAAGCAACTGTAATTAATTTTAAAAGTAATCTGCTCGGCACAAATGCCAATGTAATTTGATTTGCTAAAAGAAGTGAAATCTTTTAAATTCGTTACAATGTAAAAAGAGCAGATTAATATACATCGATTCACGCTTTCGGACTCACGTCAGATTTAAGAGAAAGCTTAGTCGGTAGACATCACGCGGAAAATTTTGAAAATTTTGAAAATTTGCGTAGCTCAACCTGCATTTCTCTCTTCGGGTGCGGACAGCAGGGAGATGAAGATGATGAAAATAGGGAAAGGGGAGAGAGAGAGGGAGGGGAAGGGGGGGACAAGAAGAAAAAGAAAAGAGGAAGGATTATTTACAAACCGAATGTTTGCTCGGTGTGATAAAACAGATTGACGAATCATTTTGCATATGGAAGCGAATAATTTCCAAAAGTTGCCGCTTTATGTAAGACTGCTTTAGTGAAACAAAAAACGCAGAGACAAAAAGTATAAATATCGATAAATATAGGGTGCTGGGCGAAACGTTGGGACACGCGATGTTCGACGGAATCATATTAAATCTAATTGGTACTTATATATTGCAGATATATTATATATAATACATTTATATATAATAATATTATGCCTTTCGGAAAAACTTCCACAATGTCATATAAGTTCACGTTGATGATTAAATTGGAATCTACAAATTTTTAATTTGAAGTTTTTTGATACTTGGATCTGCTGTGACAAATTTGACGACAGTTGACTCCATTATAATCATATGATTTTATTGTTTTCGATTTTTTAATTTATTTTTATTTGCATATCTTGACGTTTATTTGTTTCGTATCTTTTGAATCGATACTGTTATTAATGCGAGTTGAACACCGCGATTCAACTTCGTGCTCGCGTTCCCAGAGTTTCGCCGGTTGATTCGTACTGATTAGAAAAAATGGTGTTATTAGAATTTAGAAATTGATGAGATATAAAATATATACGATCTTATTCATATTATGGCGGCCTCGGACCGCGGAGTAAACGTGGATTGGGATTTTTTTTCGCTTCTTCTTGACGAAATATATATTGAACGTTATATTAGACGTTTCTGTATGTGTCCTCACTTTGTTTCACGTCTTTATTCATCGAAATGGACATATTTTTTTGTTTAACGCCACGATTTCTCGATCCACTTTCATTCTACGGTCGCAATGCGATTGCAAAGCTATACACGTGCAGAGATATATGTATACATATATATATAATAGATATATATATATATAATAAATAATATATATGCATACGCGTGATATATGTATATGTATATATTATTTATTACGTGACGACTTGACTATTTTTTGTATTACTACTACTGTTTTATGGTTATTTGTTATACTTTACTCGGGACATTTTGAGCGGATTTTTATTGCGTGTTTGAGGAGAAGTGCCAAAACCTTTGCAAGTTTACAGAACGAGAAACATTTCCCCG